AGTATATTTTTCAATATGAATGAAACTTTGTTCATCAAAATAGTTTGAACAGAAATAAACAAAAACAAAGTTATTCTACCGAACTGAATTATGCCCATGCTTTTGTTAGATTTGGCCAAATACTGTTTGCATATTTTCATTGCAAACAAAATTTGGCAGCTTTTATTTTTCACTTGTCACTTATTCTTGGTGAGTGAGGGGTTAAAAATGGAAGTTGCAGGGAGTAAAACTTTTACATGTTTTTTAATGCTCAAAATTTTAAAGGGGAAAGGGGTGGGGGGCAGTGGACGACAGTATGTCAATCCCTTCTTGGCTTGTATGTTCTATTATTAGCTCCCATCCGTTGCCTATGGGTGGGCAGGTGTCCTGGGTGAACCTGTACTTAATAGTCCCCACCAGCAGGCCATGGAAAAGACACTATGTCTACCCCACTTTTCTATTTAGAGCCTATACTAATATGGGGTTTATATTGACCACCAAAGAGATTTTATTTCATGCTTAGATTGGGAGATATCTCTCATAGTTAATTTAACCCGTTGGGTGGGTGGGTGGTGGGGAATGGCAGGGAGAAGAGCTCCCCACTGCTTATATTTTTAAATGAACCAATTACAAGGAGGGAGCTGGTAATTAGGCAAATGTTAAATGGGCAAGGTGAAAGGATGAATTTTCATTCATGGGCACTTTGTTTTTCAATAATTTCATGAATATTGCAATTTGTTCATTTGTGATTCATGTGAATGAACAGTGTGAAATTCAAATGAAAATGAATGTCAAGTCTTATAACCAGAACATTATTGACAACATCTTTGTTGTTCCCCATTTATCAAACAGAAAATAAAGCTGAAATAGGTGTAGGATCACACAAGTTACAGATTATTGAATCTGAAGAGAATACAATAGTATTCTTTTTAATTTGCAAGCTAATAATATGTTGACACTCATGAATAAAATTAGATGGGGTACGAGAGGCTACCACTGAGTTTTGGGTGCACATATTATTCGTTAAAGGGATTAAGAGATGTCAAACATTACAAACAGATTCATGGTGAAATTGTAAAGTTCACAGGATGGAAAATTATTATAATTATACAATTGCTAAAATAGTTATAATTGGATCTTGTGTGCAATCTGCGACACTATTTTCATATTACAGACGTTTGATGCGACAGAACCTAAATTAAGTAAAAGAAGCAAAACAAGGCAGTTCAGCATGCAGGGCATATTCTATAAGGAACAATAAAACACTGCATACAATAAAATGCCTATTAAGAATGATGACATACTCACCCTCCTCTCCATTCAATGGATCATCTAACAAGAGGCTGTTCATACATTCCCAGTCCTTTAGAAGTTCAGTGGCACAGTCCCACATGCTGTCCACAAGGTATGCTGCATGTTCATGCAACTATCAAAAAAGACCACAAAGATTACATAAACCTATATATTTGCTTACAGTAAAACAATTGGATTAAGCACCCATTAGTAAAGCAAAAAACTTAGGCAATTTCAAAACATGAATACAGCAAGTGAACACTCTTAAAGGGACACTATAGTAACCAAAACAACTACAGCTTAATGTAGTTGTTCTGGTGTCTATAACCTGCCCCTGCTGGGTTTTTAATGTAAACACTGCCTTTTCAGAAATAAGGCAATGTTTACATTGTGGTCCACGAACACCTCTAGTGGCTGTCACTCAAACGGCCACTAGAGGTGCTTCCTGGGCCAGTGCATGTTCAGCGACTACACGCTCTGCGTGGATGCACCGAGTCTATGCATTTCTATGAGGAGATGCTGATTGGCTCAGAGTGGAGTTTTGCAGTGCATGCACCATGGCATACCAATGCTTTCCTATGGGAATGCATTGAATTGGCTGAGATCATCAAGATAGCTAAAAAGCTATTTAGACCTATAGTGTCAAGAATGCAAATTTGTATTCCTGACACTATAGTGTTTCTTTAATAGGCCAATTTATTATAGTGAATAACATCCAAACCAATATTTAAACAAAGGTTATAGTAGGAATTAAATGCATGCAGACTAATGATTACATCTTTGGGTAAATGTTGGGAAAGAAACAACCGTTCTTTATTGTTTTTTTTTATTCCCCATTGGCAGCTTCATTTATGCTAACAGCTCAGGTACAACCTCATTTTTATTTTTTAATTTCTTTGCATCACCAACATATATGTGCATATCATGAAATCTTACCTCGCTCTCCAAAAAGAAGAATACCAAAGTTTTAACAAGATTTGCATTTGGGCTCAGTCTTCCTCTTCTCTTCATTATACCATCCTCTTCAGGATCTCGACAACTAAAGAGCCTGTCATTAAATTTAAAGAAAATTAAAAAAAAAAAAAATTAACAAAAACTCTCACAACAAATATTACAGCGACAAGCTTATTTTTCTGAGGTGTTGCTTTAGGCCATGCACTTCAGGAACAGAGCTGCATTTTGAGTGAGGCTCTCATGCAATAAACTTGACATCAATATAAAACTTTACTATGTAACCTTGCTAAATTAGGCTCCTGGGGCTATATGCAGGTCTAACTTTCAGTTGTAGGGTGCACAACTGTAAATTAATTATTCATCGCACCAATGCACAAAATGTTTGATGCATATCAAGGGGAACAGGGTTCTGTTGAATTATAGAAAAAAATATACATATTTGCATATGAAATGCTTTAGCTTTCATGGTAATATAATATAAATGTCAGCCAATGCATCAAAAGCATTTTAACTTAATGAAGTGGTTTGGTGAATAGATCATACCCTTGCAGTCCAACTGCTCAAGTTATCTGCTGTTTAGGAGTCAAACCACTTTATTTCTGCAGCCCTGGCCACACATCCATTGTCTGTCAATCATACATCCTCCCTTTAAACTTCCTGGAAAGATTCATTTTAGAACCTAGAGTTTAACTAGGCTTCAGCAGAATGTTTACTATAGGACTTGAAGAAGAATGGGGGCCTAGTAGCCCCCTGTGTAAGATAAGATAGGGATCTCATAAAAGGCTGAATAAAAACTTGTAAACATGGAACTATATGTTGTAAGCCTCTTATTTCCTCCCATATACTTTATAAAAAAGATCCAAAATTTTATTATAAGAATTTTATTTTACCAACATTTGTTTTCATTTATGTTTTTACAGATTCTAAATGTGTTTGGGTATATTCATTAGTTACTTAATTGTTTAGCATAAAAATAAATATTACATAATGCCCCTGGGTCCACAATGCATCTCTGTTAAAAAAATAAAAAAAATAGATTGACATTAGACTGCCTAGCAGTATCCAGGACATTTGTAGTTGGCAAAAAGGGTTAAGAAAAGATAGAATTTTAGTCAGTTAGAAAGATAATTTTAACAGAATGATGAAGGGCTATCACACTTATATCAACAGTCAGTACAAGACCTATTGTGTAATTTTAATATATGACACATGTAATCAAAATACATTTCTACAATATATTATGTGGCATGTATGCATCAATAACAGCAGTGTTATTTGTAGAGAACGTTACTTTTTGTAAAGGAACTCTCCAGCTGCAACAGCTACTGGTCGATGGGCTGAATAAACCAGATGGTAGACATTTTCACAGTCTTCAGCAGTCAGAACTTCATCACTACTTCTACAAAAAGGAAAAAAAATGTTTTAAAGTAAAGGTAAAGTCTCAAAAAGATTCAAATATGCTGTATTTATATGAGAAGGTAACTCCTTTAATTTTTAATGAGCAGGTGGGTTGCAACAAAACAGCCTCAAAAGTAAGCAGCTGTTTGAGAGATTTTCCAATTAATTGAAAACAGGCTTCCTTAAACTTAGATGAATCATAACTTAGAATTGCTCTAACAGCACAAGAAAAGAAAAAAAACCAATAGAAAAAAAGTTATAAATTGTATTTTACAAGAATTCCCACTATATATTGCAGGATAAAAGGAACAGGGACACTACATCCAGATGAGATTAAGTGGTCAGGGTGCCAATAGTGTCCCTTTAAAGGGAAAAAACAAATTACACTGGAACAAAAACACAGCACAAATTCTAGATTTTCCTATGATTCATAAATTGCCTCCGTTTGAGTGACCCAGCCTGAACTTGTGAGAACAGCAGTATTTAATAAAAACTTATTCTGCACAACCTGAAAAGTTATTTTCTGAAGACCGTTTTTATTTTATCTTGAGTTGCAAATAACTGCCAGTCCATTATTTCTGCATGGACAAGAATATTTTGGGAAACGTCCAAATTTAGAAACACATATTTCCGGATGCAAACGTCCCTCATCTATGCAGAACACCAAGTGGGACTTGCTCTGTGTAATGTGTTCTTTATTTGTTCATATAATACATGCCCCTGCCTTAATAGTTGCATAAAGCAACCTCCAACAAAAGTCAGGATAAATACAGCGAGCACAATTCTGTGAGAAAAATAAATACCCCTCCCCCCCCAAAAAAATAAGCACGTTGGAGAATAACAGCCTGAACGACAATGAAGATGGGGATGGGAAATTGGACACATCAAGGTGAGGTGAGTGTTTACTTGCAAGCAGAAATGGTTAGAGGAGTAGGATATGAAAAAAGATGAAGGGGGCATACAATAGCACCACACTTTTTTTCTTAAAACTGTCAACACTAGAACAAACTTACTGTAAAACAAGTGTGAGAAGCTTTATTGCTTGTACTGCAACATCATATTCCTTGTCCAGAGTCATTGACACAATACGATCCTACAGATTACATAAAGGAAATAAAAAAAAATAAAAAAAGTCAGTGGCGTGAAACATAGGCATCCTTAGCTATTCTGATTACCATTAAAATATTTACCTTAAATCGACTTGTGAACAGCTCAAGTTTGGAGTTCAGCTCTCGATTGTAATAAAGTCCTTGCAAAGCTGTCAAACATTTCAGTCGCACCTCCCCTTGCTACAATAAAGCAAACAAAAAAATTTTTTAAAACATTCTAATAGAAGTAAATATATAAAATAAATTTAAAAAAAAAATTTACTAAAAGACAGACATTTCTATTTTTAGAGAAACAGCATTAGGAGAGTAGATGTTGGAACGCTGGTAAAATTGTAAGAAACTCTCGTAGTCCTGTGTAAAACTAATTTGGAGACATTAATTTTCCTAACAAAAAAAATATATTAAAACAAAAATAGAAAATGATATAGGAAGGTTTGGCTTGATTTGGGCTAAGAATACCACCACATAATTTGCTATTAATATCACACCAACTCCAGAGACCCTAATGGAAAGAAACTATCCCCCACTACTGAGACAAACCAATAAGAATTTAAAAAGTTGATGAAATCTAAGTTTGTCTTAGAGATTACCCTTAGGGCCTACATATTTAGACTAGTCCCTATAAGATGCCTGGAAATTTGGCTAAAAATGTTACACACTGCTTACTTGCATTTTACATGGTTAGGAAAAAAGACCACAAATAAATGGGAAGATACTATCTGCAAATATTAAACATGGCAGCATGGGACTGCCAGATATTTATAATGATTATTTAGCAAATAGACTGATGCATGCCATGATTACAACAAAAATCAAAAAAGGAAAGATGGAATCAAAATAAATGGATCTTTCTATAGTTAAAGATATTATTTTTGTCACAGGGGAAGAAAACAAACATATTCGAAAATCATTGACATTAAGGAATATAATTGAAAACTGGAATATAATAAAAAATAAAGTTAGAAAGGGGGTTTACGGAGTCTCACCTATATTTAAAAATTGTGGTAGCAAAGACTGAGAATATTAATTTGGGAAGCTTGTGTAGATGCAGTATCTCCGCAATAGAATATATAGTTACCCACAGAAAACTCTAACCCTTCCCTAATGCCCTAGAAAAAGAACTATTTAAGTACTTGCATGTTGGGGAGTACCTCTAAAAAAGTGTAGAGAGTTTGAAAGCAATAGAAGGCATGGAAGCTTTAATAAGACAGAATATATATATATTTTTTTTTTAATTTTATTAAGATAGACCCAAGTAATATACACATTAGGCCAAAGAAGAGAACCTATTGCCAAAAAAAAAAAAAAAAAATAGCACTTTCAATCAAGATACTCAGTCTTAACTTGAGAGAGGCACAGTACAAAGTACAACACAGACTGTAGTAACTGCTGGAGATGCGGAGAGGATATGGGCAACTTTGAACACATATGGTGGATCTGCGTCTTTGTAAGATTTGGGGTTTCGTTTTTTGGATTTATTAATAAGGAAGCTTTTTGGAACAGTGTGTCAAATGTCCCAAGATATCTCTACTCCACCTTAGAGGATGGTGGTACTGAAATGATTTGATATTAAACTGGGAGTGGTACCATATGTTTAAATATTTAAAATTACACTACTTTATAGCAGAAAATAACTTGAAAGGAGCTAAACATGGACATGGTACTGAAGACTTGATGAAAATATAACTTTTGAAAGTTTCCAGAAAACAAAGCTAAAATAAAACTGCAAATACAATATTATTCCCTTGCTGTCATGATATAGGCAAACATACCTTATCATGCATAGTCCAGCCAACATATTTTAAGTAGCTGTCATTAAGAAAGGCATCACTATACATTTTCATCCAAACACCAATTTCTTCAATACAAATTGCTCTGATTTCTGCAATGGCATCCCTGCAAAAAAAAAGAAAGAAAAAAAGCACAAAAATTACATATTTGGAAAAAATGGAGACTGTGCAAAGTAATTATTTTGTACTTTGATTGTAGATTACCGGTATCTGTGAACAAAAACTCCTTTAAATATTGCGTTCATCATGTTTTCGATTTCATCTTGGTTTTCTTGGAGCTGCATTACAAAAATAAACATGTACATATGAGCTCGCTCTGTTACGGCAGTGATTTACATATAAAGATCATTTAGCACGAGTTGTGTATACCACGCTAAGTAAACACAAGGAGACAGCACAGTGTACAATTTAATATTTGTCAATTAGAATATAGCTTTTTTACAATGCTGGTCAATTCTTTTGTTGGGTTACAATATATCTGAATGTCTAAAAATAATTAACATGTGTGTTAACAATTACATGGATTGGCTCTGTGACACAGACTTTAGTTAATTCAGTAGTCACTCTAAGCGAACAACCAGCTTCAATAATGAATAGATTTCCACTTAAGTTAGATCATTTTTATTGTGTCTGCTACAGAATTTCATTGTTGACTTTCACATCTATAAGCAGTTGTGTTCTTTTGGAATGTAGATTGGAGCTAGCATACTATTGCTTCTTTTCTACTAAGTGCTTTTAGAGATAGGAAATATATATATTTTTTCATGTGTGCAGTTGTAATCCTTCGATAAGTAAAATCTGCAATTTATACATGTGCATTTCAGCCACTTTCTTTTACAATCATATTTAATAGTAATGACATTTCAGTGAGACAATAGACAATGCATATTAAGTGCTGCACAAATAATATCCACAATAATCAATTGTATACATTTAAAAAAAAAAAAAAAAACAGCTTTAGACAATATCTTTTTATAGTCTGACCTCCTTTCGTTTCTGCAATAAAAGCTCCAGTCTGTCATTAGCTCGTTTCCCAATCATCTTGTTTCTTTCCGCCTCATACTGTCTTTGTGTATTGTCCATGTTAATACTCAAGTTAAGGGCCACATTAACCAACGCGGTCATTAACTTCATAGCTATAGAAGAAAAGAATATGTTTTTAGTAATCATAAATATATCTACATACATAAGCAAATACATACTGTATGTACACAGAGAAAAAAAAAAAAAAAACTTTGAATAGTTGACAGTGTCATTAAGATTCTCATTCCCATTGACAGAACAATTCCCAGTGAAAGGCACTGGCTCTTGTATCTAGGCATACTAGAGAGGGTGTTGAAAGAAAGCAAATGTGAAAAAAACCTTACACCTAATCAATCATGTGTCTAAGTGCAACTCTGGAATGTATCAATGCTTCTGTTTAAATGGTAGAAACAACAGAAAACTGACTGACACTGCACAAGTTAGAAAGAGAAAGATGCCACAAACGCCATACCAACGGAGAACACTAATTGAGTTTACAAAACATATAAAGAATAATACAACAGAACGTAAATCACAATTTAAGAGGCTGTATCCCTAACACTATAGTGTCCCTCTGCTCCTAAATCCCCCGAGGCAATGAAAGGGTTTAAAAAAAAAAACCCTTTCCTTTTTCACTTTCCCTAATCTAGCACCAAAGTCCCTTGGCTCCTACTCCACCTCCTCCATCATCATCATCATCAGCATAATCATGAGAGGGAACCTTATGTACATGCGTTTCAAGCACTGCCCACGCAATAGGCCTTCCTCATAGGAAAACATTGATTTAGAAGATGCTAGACGTCTTCATGCACAGCGTGAGGATGTTCAGCATTGTTTCACAGAATTCAAATTCACGAAACAGCAGGAAGCGCCTCTAGCTGGAAGACTGCCACTAGTAGCAGTCTTAATACTGCAATGTAAACATTGCAGGTTCTCTAAAACTTCTCTATAGTTTTACTTAGCAGGGCTAAGGGACAGGAACACTGCACTCAGGCCACTTCAATGAGATAAAGTGGTCTGGGCGTCTATAGTGTCGCTTTAAGAACTCTCCATTCTGGTGGAGAATTGCATAAAAAAATTGAATTAAAAAAACCTATATAAAGTACAATGATTTACTAACCTGCTAAGGTGCTTGTATGTCGAAATGCTCGCACTTGAGAGTCAGAAAGTCCAGTGAGAAGGGAAATAACAGTGTCCATCATGTACTCATCATATATAATGCTGTATTGACATTGGCGAACCAGGACTCCAATGAACTCACAAAAACTGTATTTGAATTTCTTCCACTGAGGACCAGCCATAGTTAATGGGTAATCTCCACTATCCTACATTTAAAAAAATAAATAAAAAATATTCAAGCACTAAATTGAGCACAAATGCTACTTGATGGCAACAGTAAACCGATGTATTAACATATTTCAGAGTAGATTTTTGAAAACACTGAAGCTTTACAAAATACCATGCACAGATTGTGAATATTAGTGGCCACATACATTTGAAAAAAAAAGAAAAAAAAAAAAAGTTTACTGCAGTACTGTAAACAGTTTTATGAAACAAAATACTCTATGTGCAACAAGCTAAATATAAAGAGACAAAAAAATAGGGCAGCACTAGTAGATGTGATAGTGCTACAAGTGGTTTGTAGGATACAAGGAAAAAACAAACATTTTGGGTTGCTCCTTTCTTAATGCATAATTTACTTGGAAGGGCATTAGGCTTTGAGAAAAGGGAAATTTGTATTTTGCTGTTAATTTCTACATGAGTTACGGTTACAGTTTACGGTTTCCACTGCCCTTGGTGGATACATTATATCACTTTTCTAACTTCAACCACAATCTTTAGCATCATATTGGGCTGATCCTATTTTTGGTTATATGTCTCTATTATACTTTCAAAGTAACAAATATCTAGAAAAGTCTTAGTAAGTTTTATTTATCCATTTTCTAGACCTGTTGGGAATTTCACTCCACCTGTTTTTTTTACTCATTTGTGATCTAGGGTCTATAACACCCTTTTTCTGTTCCTAATAGTTCCTTTCTTTTTGAGAAAACATATTTAACACTAACATTTTTTTGAAATCCATAACACAATAATTGAGCCAAGTGTCATTATAGCTCACAGATTATACTACACCTATATATAAACATGTACAATAAGTTTGTAGCATTTATCAGCTAGTAAGAGTTAAAATGCCTAAAGGTCCAGAACAGTATAGAAGTCAGATTTAAAAAAAAAAAAAAAAAAAAAAGCTTTAAATTACCTCATCAAATTCTTCTGTCATTCTTCTAATTATTTCGGAATTTTGCATATGGCGGAACATGTCTCCAGTGACAACACCTTGAAGAAAAGAAAAACAAAAAACAGTTTTAGAAGAATAACCAATAAATACTGTGTGTATAATCTGATGAAATTTGTTATGCCTCTAGTTTTTTCTTCATAATGTAAAATGGTCAATGTATTTTAAACATTTATAAATGTGTGTTGGCTGGGCATTTTAACAAACACATGCAACATAAAAAAAGGACAAAACTGACATCAGACAGGAAATACAATCAAGACATATGAGTTATTGTTATTACCTTTACATCCTGAACACTGAATAAAGAAGTTGATGAGATCAAGCAGTGCTACATCTTTATTGTGTTTATATGCTTCGATCCAGTCATCTACAACAGACTAAAAAGACAGGAAGAAAACCAGTTAAGCACACAATAATTCTATATTGAGAGCTTGAAGATGGCATGCATTTAAAAAAAAAAAAAAAAAAAAATGTTCAATAATGCAGTCACAAATACCTTACTTTAATACATTATGGACAATTAAAGGGACACTGTAGGCATTGTGTTTACTTCATCTCATTAAACTAGCAATAGTATCTGGAGTCCCCTGGTACCGTCATTTCATTACACAATAAACAATATTTAATATTTTAATGCTAAATGTGAGTCCACAGCAGTCCATCCCCACAGTGCTGCTTTGTATTATACTGAGCGGCAATAAGCAGCTGGCATTGGCTGCGAGTGTCAGCTGACTGGTTTTAACCTATCAGAGCTCAAACTGACGGTATGATGGGTCTGACTACAAGAAAGTGTGTAATCTCTGCCTTAGCCACAGCTCCAAAAGGGGCCGGACTGTGGGTTGCCATGAACCCTTATTTATTTAGTGTTAAACTGCTCTGTGGTGGTTTAACACTGAAGGGAGGAACAGTATCAGGGGACTCTGGGCACTATAAACAATTCAAAGTGATGTAATGGTTATAGTGAGAACAGTGTCCCTTTAATAAGTTTTGAACTGGATTGATTTACAACACGTGTAGCTGCAAAATAAAATATGACTGAATCCTAAATAAGTCTGACTTGTGCATTTGATAAATATTCAATAAATATTTGTCAAAATATGCCTTAACCAATAAAACCTAGGTCAATATGGTGTGGTTGTAACAATATTACACCTAGCAAGATTTCATTATAAACAAAATTCAATCAACCTATCGAGGAAATCCTTGATAATACTGCCATTATGAGCACATCATATACATCATGTTGGCTCTCCAAGAGGCCCATTTGGAACTTAAAGTCTACCAACTTGCGTCAGCCACTTACAGAACAATCAGAGTTTGTATCTCTAATATGCTTATTACCATGGCACAGAAAGCCATTTAAATGCCAATTTACGCAAACAGTCAACTTTACCAAGTATCTCAGCTAATTATAAGGAAAGAAAAGTCCTCACAATTAAGACCATGTTGATCTATATTAATCTTACGTTTAGTACAATATCTTCAATCCAATATAAGAACACATTTTAGTGCTTATTAGTACAAGGATATCTGTGTCAAGCAGAAAAACACAAAATAAGATTTTCAATCACATCCCTAAAGGCACAGGGTACTGTGCATAGCCCTAGCATAGAATATTACTGACTAGAGCTGCAACAACTAATTAACAAAATCAATACATTGATTATGAAAATATAATTCCAATTCATTCCTTTGTACTGTTATAATACTTTCTTACACAGATTTATTCTCTCTTAAAAGGGGTTGTATTCCCAGGGACCACAAGTACAATACAGCCAATTCCCAGCCATAATAGGTTATGGGTTTTATTATGGGACTCTATCCCTGCTGACATTTTTTCTTTCTAGGTGAACCTTCCCCTTCTTTCAGTTATTCTGCAGTTGTCGAGCTCAGTCTCAGGCCGGCCATCGGTACAGCTAGGCCTCAGGTTATGGGTGGGTGGTTAGACTACAGAGAAGTGGATGGTTAGTCTACACGGTGTATGGATGAGATCCTATTGTGGAGCAGCATGTGTGTAATTTGTGCCTTTGTGTACTCTGCAGCTGGGATGGGTGGAATCAGTGTTTGTCTCATGTGGAACATACAATGTATTAATAGAAAGGTCTAATGAGTTCAAAATCTAAAAGAGTACTGTTGATCCTGCCAAAATATAGGTCCCTTAAAGGTGATGCTCGTGATAGCAAAGTAAGCGTTCTCTTTTTGTTGGTACAATGAGGTTTTTTTTTAAGCTATATTATAGATCCTAAAGGGACACTCCACCGCCCAAATACAAAATTAAAAAAAAAACACTGTTTTGTAGACAAACCCCAAATGAAAAACCTTACATACATTAAATTGTGCATTATTTACGGGGGTTAATCTAAAACTTAGATTAGTTAGCAAAACCTGTTGTTCTCTTGTCGGCAGTCACTGAACTGCAAACCCTCCCCTTCTAACCCACCCAGACTTTCTGTAAATGTTCGATGTAGCTCAGTGAGAAGTCTTTGCAAGGCAAGTGCTCTGAGCAATTGCTGCCTTTTGAGTTTAGTTCCACTGAGCTTACCAAACCAGGAAGTAATATGACCTTTTGTCTGCTTGAAAGCCAAGGGGGTGTAACCATTTTAATTTATAGAAATTTAGATTTCTACTGATATCTGCCCTTTTTGCTAAAAAAAATATTTTAAAAAAAATAAAGCTTTTCAGCAAGCTCAAGTGCTAGAAGTATGGAGTGTTTTGTAAGGTTCAGCTAAACCTAACAGAGATTTATAAAGGTTGCCTTGATATTGCACAGATTTGTGTGTTCACGAAAGAGATCATCTACAGGTATAAGCATGTCCGGGAAGATGTTTTTATTGTCCATACTATATTCATCTATTAGCATTACTCACACTAAATTCTTTTTCACAGTTTTTCATGTATAACAGTGGTTTTTACAGTCAAGTTTCCTCTTTAGCCATGGGTAGTTATGAAATGTGGGATGATTGGCGGTTTTGACTTCAGTGCATCTCTTCAATATTCTTTTGCCTTAAACATCCTTAGTCACAGGAGATATTTATAGTGGGTAATTTACTAGAGTGAGAATTCAAAGGGTACTTTAAATAATTTTAAGCCAGAGTAGCCAAACTGAAATCATAGATAACTTATAGAATTTTTCCAATTCAGCCATTTTGACCTTAAATTTGAAATTCACTTTAAATTCTTACTTGGCTAACATTATTGTGTTATTGATCCCAATTTCATTGTATATATAACTCTGTCAACTTTCCAGCTATGAGATTTTCTTCTTAATCTATTTGAATTCTATCTAAGCCAGCTGTAAAATATTTTCACATGCATATGCCGAAACTATATACATTATAAATGTACCTGTAAATCTAAGTGTGGTGTTTCTAGAAATATAAAATTTCAAGCACATGAACGACTTATATTATAGCATAAAAGACACCTTGTATTATCCAATTAATTGAAATGGAAAAAAAAAGTAATCATAACCAGCTGATTGATTATGAAAATAACTATTGGTTGTAGCTCGATTACTGATTACATCGGAAACAATTAGAGAAAATGAAAGCTGCGCTAATCGGCTTACCTGCATTGCACTTTTTCCCATTTTTACCACCTCGAATAGCATCATGTTCTCTACACCATTTTGTTGATGATGTCCATTCATCCAATTAGGGCCTGCAGCTTTCATAGCTTTGCCCTTTTCAATTGGGCCTTTTTTTCCTTTCTGCCAATGGCAAAATAAATATTTTTATAAATAGGAAATGAAAAGTAGAGGAAATCCATTGCCCTAAATCAAATTATAAATACATACGCCGTCAAAAAAAACTACTTTTAAGCCATTAATTTTATTCAGTTTAAAAGTGAAATTTAAATGGACACCAGATTGGAGAATGTGTTCTAAAAATAAAGTTATTAACTGATCAATCACTCAATCTCAAAAGACTGGAAGGGTGAGAAAAAAAAAAAAAAAAAGAATACAATAACAAAACAAACGTACTTTTCCTTTTCCTTGCTTTGGGATTTTTCCCTCAAGGTCATCAAAGTCTGTATCGGATGAAAAATGTGTCTCTGTCTCCCTGAAATTCAAAGAAAATGGTGTCAGAACAGTTTTCAGACTTACAATTTATAAACCATTTGCTTCAGTTTGAAGCTACTGTAACATCACAGATAACATCATATTTACCTTTGCAAAAGGTACAAAGCATACTCCGCAAATAGTTTTTTTTTTTTTTTTTTTAAATTAGCAGAATGAAATCAGAACAAATAAGTAACATCAAATTTTATCATTTTGGAAATTCCATTCTCGTAAACACTAAATCAGCTTCTGAGCCAGATTTGCATATGGGTACTGAGGATTCAAATTAATCAAACTTTGAAATTCAAGTTGAATGTGCATAAGCAATTTGTACTTGAGTATACAAGAAAATTATTTAACTTAAATTTATTTTTTGCTGTATTTTTGAATTGCCTGTTTGACATTACAATGCAGTTTTAATATCGGATATATCTAGTCATGTACATAAAATAGTTTGTATTTTTGAAATCATCGCATTACATAGTATCATTTCAAAGTTGACTGTTCCTGTTTATTAAATAACTGTAAAGTGTTTTACTTTTTAAGAGTCTAGAAGTAAACTTCATATTGCAAGTTTTCTAAAACTATACTATACTACAGTAATGTTTTTACTTTATGGTAATTTCTGTGCAAAATGTGTCATGCATCAATTTAATCTAAAGAGAGATCAAAGAATGAAACACAAGGACGGTAATAGCCTTTAAAATATCAGAGAGTGTGAATGTTCTGTATCTAAATATTTTAAACTGTAAGGTTTAAAGAAGAGCAAAAATAAATTTAAAAAGTCATACCTTGGTCCTGCATTGCAAGAAAGTGGGCCCATATCATGAAGAGATGTATCTAGGGGTCTAAAAACACACACAAATAAATAAATATATACACATATACACACACTGCCCAACAGTTTCTACTTTATTCTGATTTTTACATATGTATAATTAGTTATTGCCTAAATTTGTCAAAACTGTAAAACAGACCTCATTAAACAAAATATAATGTAAAATTATGTACTCACTATTTTACACAAAAAAATAAATTAAAATAAATTTTCCTTCTAAAATTGGTATAGAAAGTACTTTAAACAGAAACCCATGATTCTCAAATCCTACTAATGTTGTAAACAACACTAAAACAAACAGTTGAGCTACTAAGACTAAATAGTGGGTGGAAAAAAAAAAACACTTGAGAGGACTCTTAAAATAAAAATATATATAAAACAAACATTCAGACCAAAAAAAAGGTGTATATTGTTGACCATCAATTTCAAATCTTTGTATTTAGGCCATGAAATACTTTAAAGTGGAACTGTCCCAGTGTGGCAATTGTAGAGTTTAACTTACATGAACCTGCAACCAGGGGATTGACACTATCTGACAGCCATATCTCTGCCCAGTGTCAAGAAGTATCAGGTGTTGGAAAAATACTGAGACTGTTCCCTACTTTGTTTCAGTATATCTTTTGACTGGATTGGAATTTCAGTGAAATATCAACACTGTCAATAGGAGTATTTTATAAACGCTTTATCGTTATGAGATTCTCAATTTGGATAAGGAGCTGTTAAGTGAACTTGTTATGGAGAAGTTAACTTGCCTGAAATCACTCCCATAAATCTCAAAGATACATGGTGTATTAAATGTAAAATATAAAGAGTAACTCACTTCTCCTCCATTCCAGTGTTGCTTCGTGGGTGTTACTGATTGTGTAACACCCACCTCCTGGTCGTCCTCCACTCCACCTGCGCCCCTACTGCAGTCTTCTGCAGTCTCAAGCAGAGCAAATCTCACCAGTGATGTCAGCAAGCGGGCTATGTTGCCACTCTGTTCCTATACTCCCTAGTCAGCGCTAGAAGCTCTGGCTAGTGAGTTTCCAGCGATGATTGCTGTGGGTGAAGAGCAGTGGGCCCTACTGTGGGCTTGTCAAGGCACTGATAGCTTGGGGGGGGGGGATCTATTTTAAAATAGTTTTTTCCCCTAATCTATAAATTTGCTAGAAAAACTGCTAGCACAATGTATAAACAAAATCTTATACCCCAAACAACTAATGCTCATAAGATTGAGCATAACAAATGTTAGGTTTACTTAAAGCCTTACAATAAAGACAACCATACTTCTAGCAATACCCTTCAACTCATGAAGTGGTCTGGTTGCACTGTCCCAGTCCCCTTTACCCGGCAATTGTAATTATTGCAGTTATTGATAAACTGCAATAATTACAAGAGAGAGAAAAAAAAAAAAGAGCATGTGGTTGTGTAAAAAGAAAGTACACCGTATTTGATTTATATGTTTTTACATATTAGGGCATAATAACAATCATCTTTTCCTTAGCAGGTTTTAAAATTAGGTATATAAAACCTCAGATGAACACCATATGTCAGATTATATTGTGTCATGATTTAGCAGCCACTAGAGGCACTTCTGGGTGGTTAGACGACTTTCGGTCAGCTGACGCTGGATTTCCTCATGCTCTGAATGAGGACATCCAGCGTCATCTAAAACCCCATAGGAAAGCATTGAGAAAAATGCTTTCCGGTGGAGTAGTCCATGGGGGGAGGGGGCGGGCATTGTAGGTGTATGTATATATATATATATATATATATATATATAAATAAAACTGTCCAATGCTTGCACTCCTGTATAACAACAAATATGGCCTGGTGCTTATCGGCATAGATAATAGATAGCGAGTTTTGAAAAGCACTCCAAGGACTTCATATATGGTGAAAAAAATCAACTTAGCTTTATACAGCAACTGCCAACAGTGATCAACGTTTCAGCTCACCCTTGGAGCTTTCGTCAGGATACCTTGGAGTGCTTTTCAAAACTCGCTATATATATATATATATATATATATATATATATATATATATATATATATATAAACTTTGTTTTCCTTTAATTCTGACATGAGACAAGTAGGGCTACATAAACAGCTTGAATAACAATTCATAGAAAGCATACACAACACTACCAATACAAGCAATAGAATAAAAAAACAGGGTTATCAACATTTTAATATGTATACAAAATGTTATTGGGTCTAACTTACTGGAGGAGACTAAAGTCAGTGGGTATTTCTGGAGCTGCTATCATTTCTTTATCATCTTCTGGAAAACCAATGTCCCTGGAATAGTTTGTTCATAAGACTGTTGCCTGAAGTACTTCACCAAATCTGTTGTACTTCTGTAAGAGAAGAGAATAAGTTTGAGCATTATACTACTTTAAAAACAAATAGGTTTCAAACTTTGCAACAGAACTATTTTACCATATCCACAGTGCTATCACACCCTTGCCACTTTCAAAAAAACAAAACTCTGATAAGTGGACCCCCTCTTATGGGGGCTACAAGGAATTCTCCACCGATACCCTTTGAAGGTACCCCGCTTACTTTTTATAAGAAGCTATCCTGGCAAAAAAAAAAAAAAAAAAAAATCACTTAGGAACAATAAAACCTATAAGTAGGGCTCACACCGTCTCCTGGAGGAAAAAGGTGGCAAGACACACAAACATAAATATTTAAACCCACAACTCTTCGTTGGTCGATGGGTTTCCCAGCGGAATCTGCCTTGAAACCATGGCAGTGGAGAAAATTATCCCGCTCATACCAAATGAGGCTTTGCCGAGAACAGAGCTGCCCCTTACATAAGATGAGGAACTGCATCACCTATTTCTTTTCAAGTGCCTAACCTACTTGACTCTTTATTTTTTCCTTTTGAATGCTGGCTTTGGTTAGGTGGCATGTGCTATAGAAATATTATTCCAAGTAGGGTCACTTTGTAATATGTGAACAGTGTGTCGTTCTACAGCTATATTTGTACATTGTTTATTTTTGCAGAATAATGTATTTCTTTTGACTTAAAAAAAAAAAAAAAAAAATATTAAGGAATGCTATTCAAAACAAGAATATTTTCATCTCTACTAAAACAAACATTCTCAATATGTAAAATATTACACATAACTAGGAATAAGTACTACAACATAATAAATAAATAAAAAATCTGAAATCTGATGAATGAGATATATATATATATATATATATATATATATATATATATATATTATATTATCAAACCAATGTTAATATAACACATTAAATAGGGAAGTTTTCTGTTGAAAGATATTACCGTTCTCACAAGGTGGAGCTCTAGCCTAAGGCTGACTAGTAGACTAAGACAGGTCATACAGAGGTTGACCCACTTCTTTAGCCAGATGACATTTTTTTTTAGCAAACAAACAATGCAAGAACACCATTTTAGAAATGTTTCAAAAATATGACTGTAGAGGATACAATCTTTAAGCAAGCACAGTTTTTAATTTACACTTTTCCCAGCGATCTAGTTAACACAACACAGACTGCACGAACGTCTAATGATGTACACATTTGAAGATTACATTTTTCACTTTGAGCAGACAAAATTTCCATGGACTTAACACAACAAAAATAAAACATACTAAAAAAATAAAATAAAACAATCTGTTTATTTAGAATGAAGCAACTTTCATTTCAAATGAAAGGGTCTCATTTACACTGGTCTGAAAACTGTACATAAATAGAACATTCATTACATTTTTCCAGGCTGAGTTTAGGTGACATTCAATTTCCCAGTGAAAGTATTTCTATTAAAAATGGATGAGAGCCTAACTAGTGGCTTTCATTACTGAAATCAAAGTAAGAAGCAGAGGTGGGCAGTACAAGACCCTGAGGAAGCTATACTAATGAATCAAAGCTGATCTAAAGTAAAGATAAAAATAATCACAAAACAGCTTTTTGGAAAGGTTAATAATCTGCATGAAATAGCAGGTGTGTAAACAGTAAAGCCAATGGCACCTAGATAATTACTATACAATATATGACCATTCTGATTTTGCTAAGCAGTAAAAACGAAAAAATGATCTGCAACTGTTCCATAGATATTCCCAGGCTAACAACAAATAAAATCTAAAGTATAAAACAGTAAAATATTAGCATTTACTCAAATTAATCTTCGGAGAATATAATTTTTTTTTTTAAAGTACATAAAAAGGAGAAACTAGGTGGTTGGTGACTGGCAACATTTTATGCACATTATGTTAACGACTGAAAAGTTGTAAATAGGAAACATAAACAAGTTGGTAGTAAAAACAAGACTACTGAAATTTAAGGGGGAAAAATAAAAATATATATTTATGAAGACATTCACATTTTCAATATAACCAAAGATGGTTTTACTTCCTACTTTTTATTTTCGTTTCAACTGAATGGTAATCTACACACTAATTTGTTGTGCAATTATTTCACTTATCTACAATTCCCTTTTTGTTCTTTTTAAATAAATTGTACATATTACTTTGCAGGGAAGGGTTAATGCACCAAGTACTGTGTGTTTCGCTACCATATCATTTAATGGCGAAGGTGGTATTAATTGTCTTTGGAAGGTGTATATAACTGAAACATCATCTACAGTTAGTCACAAATAGATAGTGTATGTGTAAACAGACTGCAAAAATAGCACACGTTTACAGCAGCCTACATAACCAAAGCTTTTAATTCACAACGAGAATGGGGATGACGAATAAGAGCAATTTAGCTTCCAACAGCTTTATACATAATAAGAATAGTATTTACTATCAAAAATAAGACCTAAATGCCCACTAGAAGGCTGTAGATACCCAAACAATCATATGAAACTTTGGTTGACATTTCTTGGAGTGTGAATTTTACATGCACTGAGCAGTGGTTTGAACCCTAAGCAAAGCAATCACACCTGATAATTTTTCTGCACACATTGGCAATGATTTCACATTTCTACATTCAGCTTTTAGAAATTTACTGTTTAGGCGATTTCTTGCAACACGAAGACTGATACACGACTTGTGCAAAATATTATTAAATGGATCACAAAATTAACCCCTTAAGAACACCAGCTATTTTTGCATTTTTTGCTGTTTGTGTTCAACTGCAATTTGCATCGCTCTCATTTATTGCATCTACACATACTAGATATCATTTTTTTAAAGGACAACATGGGCTTTAACCCCCTTAAGGACACATGACGTGTGACATGTCATGATTCCCTTTTATTCCAGAAGTTTGGTCCTTAAGGGGTTAATTTGATGTGACACACACACATATAAAATCTAATATATAATTTTAAAAAAAAATTAAAAATATATATATTTTCACAGTTTTTGCAATAATAGCGTGTGCATAATATGTACAGCTTAAGGAAAGTAATTCAAAATAAATTCATTTATGTATCTTGTTTTTCAAAGTACATAATATGTATAGGATTTTGGCTTATTTTAAAGGATACATGTCACAAAATACAAAGAGTAATATAAAATTTCAATTTGAAACAATTTTAGAAGTTGGTATGTTTGACTTGTTAGTTTAATAGCCATCACAGAAAACAAAATTGCCACACAAAAGTATATATTTACATAAAGTAGACATCACAGTCTATTTATCTAAAGATATTTTGACACTTTTTTCATAGCCATTTCCCCACCAATCTCTGTTAAATATTGTAGTAAAATTTAGTTTTTTCTGTTTTTTGACATACAAACATATAACAAGGTTTTTTTTACTGTGTATTTTGTAAAGCTGCTGTGTGCAATTCCTGGTCAAAATCCCATATTGTGTTCAGCTACATCTGCCGAGTACAACAATACACCCATTTTATGCATTTGCCACTATTTTGGGAAGCTACAATGACATAAGAGGCAAGACTATTTCAGTTTCTACAGTTAGAAAATTCATAGATGGACCTATTACTTATTTTGGGGTACTATAGTAGTTTGGTTGTTCAAATGACCACACAAAGGCCTACCATTTGTGAAAGTAGACACTCCAGGGTATCTCATATGGCATATATTGTGCCTTAACATGTCGCCATTTTTTCACCATTATATGTCAAGGTTTGTGGTGAAAAAATATTTCTCGCATTTTTTACTTAAGCATTACATTTGTGTGGGCATTATGTATATTTAATATGTTCCACTATGATCAAACACCCCTAATTATGCTCAGCTAACTCTCCTGAGTAAAACAATACCCCTAATGTATGCCTTTGACACAATTTTGTGTCGCTAAAGTGCCACATAGGAGACCTGACCATTTCAGTATTTACAGTAGAATTTTGAGAGACGGATTTGCAGGGCTTATGTTTCAACTTGGGGCATTATAGCAGTTTGACTGTTTCAATAACCGCACAAAGGCCTACCATTTGTGAAAGCAGACTCTCCATGGTATCTCATATGGCATATATTGTGCCTTAATATGTCAACGTTTGTGGTAAAAAAAATATTTTCTGCATTTTTAACTTATGTGTTACATTTGTGTTGGGCATTTTGTATATTCCAATTTGATCAAACAACCCAAATTATGCTCAGCTAACACTTCTGAGTAAAACAATACCACCAATGTAGGCCTTAAGCAGTATTTTGTGAAGCTACAGTGCCATATAGGAGACCTGACTATTTCAGTTTTTACAGTAGACTTTTGAGAGATGAATTTGATAGGTTTATGTCTCATTTTGGGGTCTAATAGCAGGTTGCTTATTCAAACTTCCCCCACAAAATTTCTACCATGTTTTAAAGAAGGCACCCCAGGGTATTTCAAAAGGTCCATTTTGAACCTTAGCCTCGGATCATTTTTTTTCCTCGTTATTGCCAAGTCTAGTAGTAGTAGTAAGCATTTTCTCTGCCTTTTTGACACACACACTTGAGATTTTACTGCAAAGTTTGCAAACCTCGGGTGTGCTACGGCAGTATAACGTTTCATATGTTGCTCGACTATGTCATTTGAGTACATCAATACCCCTGCGTGTACCTTTCCCAGGTATATGTGGATGTTGAAAGGGCAAATTTGAAACTGCCATTTCAAGGTTTTTTTCAAACTTTAAATTTGTATGCTGGGTCCATGTCTCAGTTTGGGGCATTTAACAGGTTGAAAATTCAAACTACCCCACAAAGGTCTACCATTTTTTAAAGAAGACACCCCAGGGTATTTCAAAAGGCCCATTTTGAATCTTAGGGTGGGATCATTTTTTCGCTAGTTAGTACCAAATCTAGTAGTAGTAAGCATTTTATCTACCTTTTTGACACACACACAGAGATTTTACTATCCTTAGGTGTGCTACGGCAGTATAACGCTTCATATGTCACTCAGCTATTTCATCTAAGTTCAGCAATACCCCACCGAGTACACTTCCAAGGTATATGAGGATGTTGAAGGGGTGAATTTGAGACTCTCCCATTTCAGATTTTTTAAAAACAATATTATAATCATTTGTATTTTTTTGATTTCTATTTTTACCCCTAGCATATGCACTAAACTCCCCAATTTCCCATGAACTATTATCCACCCCTATTATCTAAATACAAGTGGCAGTAGAAACTGATCTCTATTCGAATGCCCCTCTGGTAACACACCCTGCACCTTTTCTAGGCGGTCTTTTTTTGGAGGGCGGGGGGGTTGATGGTATCCGAAAGCAGAAGGGACCTGTCTGAATACCTCTGCTGCTAGGCCCTGCTGATTGCTCCCCACTGTGGCACTCAGTGAGCAGCACATAAATTAACTGAAACTGAAATGTAAGAAAATTACATTTCAGCTGAGGATTAGCCTTTATGAAAAAGGATGAATCCATTGTGAGTAGCCATTTGCATTAAATAAATGCTTACTTTCTTATACCAGGCCCTGGTCTTTTCTCATTATCAGATATGGCTGCAGCAGTTAATGAGACAGGTCAACTCCCCCCCATGTGTTTTTTGTATTGCTTAATGCAGACAGGCAGCCGTCTTGTTTCCTGTCTGCCAAGAACTGCGACCCTGCGCGTGTGTTCACTGTGCATGGTAGTCAGGATGAACACCTTTTTGTCTCTGTATTTCAGAGCCAGCAGTTCCCCCCCTTTTCATTTTTTTTCTCTGCCAGAGCCTTCGGGAAGCCAGTGTGTGACTTGCGGATAGTGCCCCAGACCACAGTCTCAAAACAAAATAGCATTTTTTTGAGGGGTATGCTATTATAATAATCGATGTAGAGGTGGTACCCCTTGTTCAGTAGCAGGTTCATTAGATCCCAAACTATTTTTCCCAACTACATCAGGGCAACCTGGGGGACCTCGGTGGCTATCTTTACCTTCATATACTATGAAGGTATAAACATACCCACTGCTACTTTCACATAACTTGTATAGCTTGATGCCAAACCGGGATCTTTTGGCTGGGATGTATTGCTTAAACCCCAGTCAACGCTTGCACTTCATGAGGGACTCGTATATACATATATTCTTTTGGGGAGAATAAATTGTGCCAATTTTTTTTATTTAAATGGTTAATTAGGGAGCAGATTTTAGATGGTTTATCATTCGGCGGATGATCTCTTGGGTGGCACTTTGAATTGTCACTGACGTGCAAAAAACGCAGTATTTATTCATATCTGGGCCTATTCATGGTCTGGGAGAAAATGGGGGTATTGCATACTGGGTTTTTGGACCAGTACGTTCGAATGCTGGGCTTTTTTATAATGCCCACTAGCATGGTTAGTGCCCAGAACGGTTTTAATTCTGGCACACTGGTGGGGTCCCAGATCCCTTTTGTGGCAAGGTGACTTGCTCCATTTTGTGCCAGATACTGTGCGGCATAAAGATTTGTCTGTGTAACAATCTTTTTTATACCATATTTCCCCCACTTTTTAAAACTCCTACTTCAAAAAACTTGTAAAGAAAATTAACCCCCACTGGTAAAAACAGAAGTCAGATCACCGCTAAACACAGTGCTTATACCTAGCAAAGCAGAAATGCTTTGACTTAAAATAAACATTTTTTTTCTCTTTTTTTGAACTTTTTTATACTTTTCTAAACTTTTAAGAACTTTTTTGATACTATTCTCACTTTTTACAAACTTTTTAAAACTTTTCAACTTCATAGCTACCCTACTGCTAGATTCCCCAATTTCCCCTACCTTCCACTGACCCTAGCTAACTAAATAACTGCAAATAAAAGTAAAAAAATAAAATATATTTAACCCGAGGATTAAAAAAAAAAAAAAACTCTGATCACAGTAAAGTACTGTGATCAGTATAGTGATCACTACTTTCAGTGATCAAACGGTTAATCCCTGGTAAATTTTAAATCAGGAACAGATAAAGGGGGTTTTGACACCTTGAAACACTTTGTGTCTGTCAGGGACACAAAGTTGAACAAGATCTGTCTCTCTCCACTTCAAAACACACACACACACACACACAGAGGTGGAAGGAGGCGGATAAGAAGTCCCAGCAGCACTGTGATCGCTGTGACAGCCAGTCACATGTGCTGGGACAACGCTATTGGCTGTTGCTGGTCTTCCTCAAACGCCAAGGCACCCAGCAACAGCGTTAACACAACGATTTTACGTCAAGCATCTTTAAAGGTTGGTCTGCCTTGACGGAAAATTTCCTTCAAGTGCCGTTAAGGGGTTAATTTCTCTAGCTTTGATTTATGTTTACAGACAAAAAAAAGAATTTGTGGACACTGAAAACATGCCACTAATGTGGTCCAAGAGTATTCTAACAATATTAAAAGCAAACATTATAAACCTGTACGTTTTAGAAATGTTGATGCATATACTGTACCCCAGCATAAATTAGCTATGTGGGGCTTATAATGGAAATTACCCCTTAAGGACCAAGCTACAGTTTGTTTACTACTTAAGTAATGTTGCCATTTTTGCTACGTGTATTCTCAACAAGAATTTCAATCTTGATCATTTATTAAACTAGCACATTATATACTGTTTTTGTTTTGATTTTAACAGACAAAAAGACAAAATTTGATGTGACGTATACATATATGCATTTTCATTTATTATTGGTGGGAGAAAAAAAAAAGGAAAACATTTTTCACAATTTTGGCAATCATATTATGTGCATTATTAATGCAGCTGAAATGGATACTATAGGCTCAAATAAAAAAAATAAAAAAAAATAAATAAAAAAAACAACTTTAACAAAAAGTGACTGTCACCTCAAACTTGGCTTTCTCCTATTCTTTCCTCTTCTCTTTATTTCTTATCTAGTTCTCTTTAAAACATAAGGCAAAGTACTACTGTTTTATGTATTTTTCCTACGCCTGACAAAAGTGCATTTTCTCTGAAAAGACAGTGTTTACAGCAAAAAGCCTGAATGTAAGGATTCTACTCACCAGAACAAATTTTATCGTAATCCTAATCATAACCTAACCAATGCAAAAGTGTTAGAAGAACTCCCTCTGCTGATTTCAGTAAATAAATTCCTTTGTTGGCCCCAATACTAATCTCAAATCCAAACTCTAAAGCCAAAACTAATCTTAAACTTAATCCATAAAATAATCCTAATCACAGTGGTTTCCCGCTAATATCAGTACTGATATTAGCAGAAAGAATTGTAAGTCAAAACAGTCAAAACGTGGCATGATGCCAAATACATTAAAAAAAAAAAATCCCAATACAGTCAATAAAAGGGGATTCCACTGCAGACCATATGTTATAATAGATCTCTTTATTACATCAAAATAGTTAAAAAGTAACAAAACAAAAATAAAATGTTTCAATCTCAACATGCATATATATTTGTCAAACATGGTAAACATACACCACTTATATGCAAAGCAAACACTTAATAAAACTGCACATTAGTGATGTCGCGAAGAGTTCGCGAACTTCCGCGAACGGCTCGCCACGAACCGTTCGCGGCGAGCTCCGGTCAGCAGACACATCCTGGCCAATCTCCAGCAGACCCTCCCTCCCAGCTCCTGGACAGCATCCATGTTGAAGCGTCATCTCTACTGCACATATGACCTCAAAACAATGTCAGGAATCACTGAAGAAACACCCAACATTTTAGATAGAGTTTTTTTTTTTTTTCTAAGACTGAATATCATGCATTAACACCTGTCCTTATATAACCCATAAAAGATCAGCATGGAGTTAGGCCCATCCCCGTACAAAACTATTGGTTGTTAAGCAACCACAAATCAATAAATTACCTATCGGAGCAATGCCACAAAAACGACAAAGATTGATCCCATTTGCGCATATGATACCAATAGTCTGTAACCTAGCCCATCATTTGAAAACACAGCAAACAGACTGGTTAATGTTGCAATATACATAATTCAAGCGCACAAAACATGCACAGTACGGACCACTGGGTCCTAAAGACAACTAGTTACTGCCTCAAAGGCATACGCATCACATTGATTAAAGTATCTCAGACTGAGCATGCACAAACCAAAGGGACCACATATGGAGCCCATCAATCACAGTGAGAGATAAACTTAGCAATTGGTAAAAGATGACTACAGTTATTAACACTTTCATGTCATTTAAACTTGGAAATTAGTATAGGATGACCATAGCAGCTAACAGAGAATCGCCATGGCTGCATACAGCTCACCAATGAGTCTTGGGCCACTAATGGTGGCTCTAACAGAGGGGCGCCCCAGGTATCTATTCTGTCTGGTGTAAGCATGGATTTAACCCTGCTCACTCCACATTGTAGTAATGGGGATTTAACACTTAAATGTCTGTGTGCAGCTCACTTATTTAATCTGAGGCTACAAATTCCATATTAAGCTGACAGAGGGGGAGCCCAGGTATACTTGGTGTTCATCTGTTACCAGCAGAGAAACAGTCCCCATGGTAAAAAAACATTATTCTGTCATGGGTCCTTAAGGTATATAGTGAACATAGCCATTCACCCCCACAAACATAAGCCCAATTCTCTACAGTTCCTGACTGCTAGCAGAAGGATTTAGTTAGCATACAGTGGGACATTGCATGATGGGGTAAGGTAAAAGTACTATAATGAAAAATGCATGTGTTGGATAGTTTGCAAAATGTAGAGATTCCATCAAATATATATAAATTACTGAGTGTTGCATTACCCTACACTTAATAATCCCAGTGAGCCAATACAACTCTATTAAATCCCATCTTCCCACTCTAGTTAGGCGAGCTCAAAAAACAGACACACAATATTCAATCCATCTCCAATATTCTGCAGAATGTTTTCAACTAATAAAATGCTTCAATTTGCCAGTTAGAACACTGGACGCATTATATAGTGCAGGGACATTCCAAGATGGATATAAGCATGTTCCAAACTATATAATGCATACAAATATAGATACAAGTTGCCCCTGAATTGTAATCTGCAGCATATCACAAATATGTATTTAATATAAAGGGCAGGAGTATGTGTGTTTTCATAAATAATTTACATTTATTACCATCAGCCTAGTACTACATTCTTTTTTTATTCTAGCAATATAATAATGTCGCACGTGTACAGATATACGATTCTGCCCAAGCATATCCATCTACTCATGGAAACGCTCTTAATAGCTCACGCTATGCCTGAATTCCCAGGAGATCGCTGGCAAGGAGGCAGGGGGGCAATTGCCACTGGGCCACTAACATATAAGGATTCTGGGTTGTAGCCTTGACACTACCATTTTCTGCAAATTAAATTCAAAGAAATTGGGTTGTAAGGCAGAATGTAGAATTTGTACTTTAAATCTTTATTAGCCTAGCACTGCTTGCAGTGTAGTTATTTGTTCTAGGTGACTGTTCTCCAGGCCTCAGCTAGCCCACTGGGTTGTTTCCTGGGAAACTGCAGACTATGATGATTATATATGATGTTCCTGGTCGTTGAGATAGGAGTCATCACATTCATAACGGTCATTACAGGTTGCAACGGATTTGCAGGAAGAGTCTGTATCTTAGGCATGCATAGATCTCTGTGAATGATCTAGCAATGCTTTGTAGGTTCAATGATTTTATGGTGCTATAAAGTTACAGATGAAAACTCAAGCAGCCTTTATCAAACACATCTTTCACATGCTACACGTGAGTATGGACATCCACACAAATATCTGAGTTTCATGCACAGAAAGAGACCACTCGTTTGTAGAAAGAGGTCAAGAGTGGTCAACCTTCCCCTGCATGGTGGCCAAAACCTCAATGTTCTCCAAGCCTGGAATGTCCCACAAATTGCAATAAATTGGACTCTCTTGAGATGGGATCCTGATGGAATGGAGGTTTTATGTTTAAATAAATAAATAATCTCTCCCTGTAATTGCGGAGTTTTTAGTCTGTAGTAACCATATTTTATATGTGAAACTACAACACCTGTTCTAGTGGATAAATGGCGGGAAATGACTTGCCTAGACGTGTTTATGGAAAAAAATTAAATTACAAATTACATACAGAGATAAATCGTAACACTTTTGAACAGAAATAAAACCATAAAAAGGTGTTTAGAAACCTGTAACAAATTTTTTTTTTTTTTTGCACAACTCAAAAACAATAGTAATATTTCTGCACCTCAGTCCTTTTGTCATCAGAATCTAGGATTCAGGCTGCCAGTCACAGAGACTCTACTAAATGGTGAGCAAGCCATTTACTAGTGATGCAGCACCCGGTGCACTCAGACTCCATTCACCATAACCACTTTAAGTAGTTCTGGTGTCTATAGTTGTCCTTTAAATGACCACTCCACAGTCAAAAAAGCACTTTAGCTGAGCTAAAGGAAATGTCAGGCCCACTCTACTGAGCCTCCTCCGACACAGACTTTCTTCAGCTCCTCCAGACCTTGGATCAATCGCACACGAGTACTCCAATTCAGATGCTTCTCAAGTGCTTCCTAGGACTGCAGTTCATAAGAATTGAATGTTTGGCAAACTCTTATTAGATAGATTTAATCCCAATAAATACATTGGGATTGGCATGTTAATGTTAATCTACTAAACAGTTATTTCTTCTTTTTTGCCCATTTAGGTAATGTAGTTTCCTTTTAAGACATAGGTTTATTTTCTACATCTTTGTACAGTCATAATCTTCCTCTTTCTCTCTTCTACAGTTCATACATAGAATATGTACTGTTGTTTGTTTTTTTAAGGACACGTATGTGTCAAAATATAAAACAAAAAGAGAAAACACACTAATGTAGAAAGTATAAGGATCCTGTAAGCAGCTATAGAACTACCAGCTTCATCTTTCGCTTTGGACAAAAGGATAAAACCCTTGCCTGCGCAACACTCCCACACGCCAACATTTTATCATGCACTCGTGCATCTTCTTAAAGAAATGTTGTGTGAGAACATGTGTGGGAAATGCACTTTGGGAATTAAAGTCATTTCTCATCATATGTTCTAGCTATGTTAGGGCAGATTAGCATATGATGTAATTAAAAATATAACACTAGGTTTTATTTAAAAAAGTTTAAAATGTTGCACAACCCAAGACTAAATGTTAGCTTCAGATTTATGCAAATATCTATGTGACAGTTACCCCTTTTATGTTTTTAATTCTGCTTTTAAAAAAAAATACATAATATCGTAGGATTCTTATAGTTTGATCAAATTGTATTAACGCTCACACACTCTCCAATTCCTAAATCAGGAGAGAGTGAAGTAAAATGTAACAGAAATAGTGACAGGATGTGGGATGGACATCTTTGAAGTTAGAGCGTATATGAAAGGAGAGTGTAAATGGCGGTGTAAAGGTAGAGTACTATTATGGCTGTAAAGTATATGGCTAGGTTTATGTTTCTAAAATAAAAGTTTGCATCCCTGAGTACAGGGTACATTGTACAAAAATATGGTTAACAGATGTAGAGTTTCCAGTTTCTCATGTGCTGTTCTGTAAGGGATTATGAGACTATTATGAGAAGTTATTTTATCTGGAAAGGGTTTTCCAAGGATAAAAAAACAAAACTACAATCTGATAAGCTACCAACAAACGTAAAAAAACAAAAACAAAAAAACATTGTAAATACATTAAACTCTCATTGTTTGTGATGAACTACTTAGCTTCACTGAAAAGGCCAATAAACTTAAAACGATCCCAACTTGTTTGACAATTCTCAAACACAAAAGTGCAATTTGTAAATTATAGGAGAAATACACAAGTTAAAATTTGATACTTGCCAAACAATGCCTAATTCACTGCTTATTAAGAGGCAACGTCATCTTAAATTCTTAACATAAATATGTTATAGCAACTTGTAAAACAAACAGATTTTTAAAAAGGAAAGGAAGATGCAAATCATAGATTTCAAAAGCTTGTTAATTTCATTAATCACTGGACTATTAAAGTCCAAACACATTTATACAGAAGTATTGTGTGGAAATGTTGGTTTCTGTGGCTGCTATTAAACAAAGAGAGTCAAAACATAACTTATGGAGGAGGGGTGGGGGGGAGAGAAGGGAGAGAATGCTGTGAAAAAGCATTACACACAATTTTTGATCAGCTTGTTAAAAAATAAATTAAATCCTAAGCAAATTATTATTAATCAGCAGCAAAACAATGGCAAGGGTGGAGGGGAGGGGGGTGAGGAGGGAATTTGATATATTTTTTTCAAACCACATTGACAATACCCTTGTTGAGATGGATGTCTCCTATGAGGATTAGTATCACCTAATAGTTAGTAGAAGTAAATTAGATATTAAAACAGAAATAAGAAATTCCCTTATCTGATGAAAGCTGAAAGGACAAATGGAATACAGGTGAAACTGAGGGTTAATTAACAGCTTGACTATTTTAGCCTAAATTGTGCCAAGTGGTCTTCAATGCACCAAAATGTGTGGTTTATGGAATAAAACGAGTGTTTATTGTCTTTCACAGTAAATGAACCCCCTGTTCCTACTAGAGAAATGTTGAGATCACATGTCGCATGACTTCACTAATCTCTCCCATGCAAGATATGAGATATATATATATATTTAAAAAAAAAAAAAAAAAATTTATCTTCCTCCATTTTGCTTATATAGGACTGTCTAAATCCAGTCTGCCCGGCAAGGTGTAGTTTTACAACAGGCAACTAAGCATGTGGAAGGATCATTCTCTAAAGTGATTCCACATATCACATCTGTTCCTTTTGCTCACTGAAGCAAGGATAGTAGACAAGCTTACAACTACAAGGAAACAGTTTTATCAATGCTCAGCCAAATCCTAGCAATTCATTTTACATCACAACAAACTCTCCCAACATTTAGTCTATTTGGTTTCCCTACTTTCTATAACACAACCTATAAACACCTTAGTTGGCACTAGCATTACCTTTGCCAATCTCCAATAATTTACTGATAGCATTACAATCTACTCTGTTTATTAAATGCCAATTCATTATAGATAGTGAAGACTGTTTCAGTGTTAATGATGGGGATGTTGGGTTGGAAGGAGTATTTATTTAGACCCAATATATTCACTAGCGTTGTAAATTTGTAAAACAAATAATTGCGTAAGACAAATTTAGGAACAAGGAGGCCCTGTTCAAATACACAGTCTACCTGCCTAGCACATACAACTATAGAATACATGTGTAATATACAAGCAAAACTGTAATGTTACAGTGATTTAGTGAATATATTAATATTTTTTTATATAGTGCCAGCAAATTCTGTAGTGCTGTACAATGGGGTATACATAAACACTCTGTACTGGGCACTCTTACACCATTTGTAAAAAAAAAAAAAAAAAAAAAGTATACCTCACTAGAAATCCAAAACTTCTCAATTAAGTAAATGTTCCAACACTCAAATGTTATCTTAAGACTTAAGACACGGTTAAAATGTTATCAGAAACCCAGTACTGGTTAAATAGACCAGTGTATGTTTTATTTTTATTATTATTATTATTATTATTATTATTATTATTGGGAGGGGGAATTTATATATTTATTCCCTTCTTTTTTATTATTTTGTTGCAATGACATCCCAAACCCACACACCCCTTCTGCTTAGAGATGCATTGATTCTTCATATACTTCATATATGCGGCCACCCAGGAGTAGTGGGAGTCTGAGCGCAGGACATAATTTTGTGCATTTGTATTCACTTTGTATCACACAGCCATGTTACCATGCTGCCACCCATCCCATGTGTTCACTATTAAGGGTTAATAAGTATGTAGGTGTTTAAAAAAAAAAATACCCCTCTCTTCTCATTAGAGATTTCTTTGACTGAAGCTGAAGGAAGCCGGGTGAATTGTTAGTGTAGGACTTATCTAAGAGTTTTGCCTTGACGTGGCAGGTGGGCATTTCCATATAATGGCGATTGGAGTTACTAAATAACCTCAATTTAATTAAATATGTGTAGGGATTTGGGCTGGTGTGCAGGTAACTTTTTTCCTTTGGTTAATGACCATGAAGATTAAAGGACCAAGCAGTGCCTGAAAATATGTAGATCTTATTGAACTAAATCACTGATTCAATAAATATTTCTTAAGCCTATGATTTTCAGAGAAAATGCACCTCACTAGTTCAGATCTATACAAAGATAATCAATTAAAATAGCTACACTTAAGGGACACTCCAACCACCCAAAGCACTTAAATTTGCTTCAGTGCTTTAGGGGTTAAAGGGACATTCTAGACAACCAGACCACTTCATCTGATTGAAGTGGTGTGGGTGCAGTGTCCCCCCTTAACATGGAAAGAAGAAACTGCAATTTTTACATTATTGGGTTAAGACTGCCACTAGCGCTTCCTAAAGTTACATGGAGTTTGACTCAATGAAACAACGCTGGACATCCTCACTAGGGATCAGCCGATAAAATGTCTATACCGGTTATCTGGTGCGTTTCGTGCCGGTTGCTGATAACTGGTACCCATATTCTGTACATTTAAAGTATTGAATAAGTAACAATTTACAAACATCTGCCATTATCTTGAAATTTTTATTTAAACATTTTTTTTGTCATTCACCAACAAATTCCACAATGCTGTACAATAGGTGAATTAACCAACAAGTAGTTACAAACAAGTTGGATGTATAGGAACAACTAAGAAGTGTGTGGTAAATGACAGAAGAGGAATATGTACTGGTGTATATACAGATCACTGACTCCCCAGGTGAGATAGTTTTCCAGTGGCCTCTAGGGAAATATAACCCTGGCCCAGAGGGTAATGCCAATAGGACTGCAAGTCAATAACAGATGAAATTAGAAACCTTGAGGCTCCACACAAACACATTAGTAACCCCTAGTCAGACATATGCACGGGTACACACTTCTAGACACATGCACACATACAGAAATATAAAAATAATGGTCCTGATAGTCATCACATCCTCCCAATACATACTGTGGCAATAATACACAAACAGAGCCATCCAACTGCTCAGCGTGGTCTGATAAGAGACCCATGTTGTGGCAGCTCATCCATGTGGCAACTGTTAGGGGACATATTTCTCCCTAAACAGACGACATAGCATTACAATGCCGGGTTGCCGTAGCCTCTTACAAAAGAGGACGGTGATCCTGGTATAATGTATAACCTAAGGAGGAGGACCAGCTTAGTAAACAAAGTCATGCTTAGAAAAAAAAAAAATCCTCAAAATGTGACACAACAACAAAACATATATTTATAGTGTGCCAACATTTAAGCAATTTATAAAACCAAAAAAGCAGACCAAACAGCAGGCTAAGAGTGTCCTTCCTGCAGTAATCAAGGGGAATGGGATACATCAAAACACAATGTATACAGAAAGCTGTTGACAAGACTAGTTCCCTGGTTAAATAGATATTTGGTATCACTAATTTGCAAAGAGAGGAGGAGAATTACTCTTTGAAAGCTTTTGGCAGCGTTTGCTTCAGTGGGTTACACAGGTATGGAAATGCTCCAAAAAAATCTTCTAAGCATGAAGAGAGCTGCAGGACTTGAGAGAAGTGAGAGCAAGTTGTAATATGGCGTAGAGTTTTGAGCCTCTGTTTATCAAGGTCACAAATGTGTATTTCATCAAAATGAGATGGTAAATCAGTGGAAGACAAAATGGATTACTGGGAGCAATAATGAGTGAGGTAGATGATGTTGGAATGGCATTTTGGATAGTATCAAGATAAAATAGATGAAAGGAATGTCGATAAAAGGAAAGTTACAGTATTCGATAGTGGAAACAAGAAACAGAAATGCACGTTATTCACTAAAGTAAGAATTGTTGGGAATTCAAAGTGAAAATCAATGTTAAAGCCAGAACTGCAGACATTGAGAAAATCTCCAATTCAGATATGCGTTTAGTTATATTTGCCTTCAGTGTGAAAAACAGCTTGAATTGCCAAAAATTCTACATTTAGACAATAACCATGATTACAAATATTTATATGTTATATAGAATACTTTATATTTAAAGCACGCAGAAAATATAAACTGAATTAGGAGATACTAAAAATATTTATAAAGATAGAAGATAAATATAAAACATGGAAATATTGTTGAACAGATCTAAACAAATGGCTGTTGAGCCTTGTAGATGTAGGCAGGTGTCTGTAAAGAAAATTTTTATGCTACATTGCACATTGCAACTTGACAGGGGGAATCAGCAGATGAACTATGGTGACGTATTAGAACATGGATTTATCATTAGCAACAGTCTATTGCTGCAAGTGAATTTGAACTACACAGTTTGTGTAGCCTTAAAACACAGCTCTGCACTTGAGTCTTAGGATGTTACTGCATTGTCCTAAATTAAAATGGGGCGAGGGAGATGTGAAGATGTAAAAACTACATTTTCAGGGACAATTTCCCTACAGTAAGATGTAGAGATCATAATGCTGCATATGTCACTGTAAAATGAAAATTAAATCATGAAACATTTTGTATCGTATAGTACAACATGACCAAGTGTGAGTGCTCAAAGCTTTTGAGTTTATGTTCTCAATCCTATAAATATAAAATAAAAACAATCAGTGAGATGCAGTCATTGCCTCCATAAAGACAAACAGAGTGTGTATTGATTAACCAATCTATATTCTCTGAAGTCATGTAGCCCCTCAATTGCTCTTCTTACAATATATCCTTTTCCCCTCAACTCCTCCTGCTTCAAAAGTGCTCATTTGAGCAGATTGATTCCCATTGATTAACATTCAAATTCCACAGACTAGTACAGCCACTGTACAATGCTGTGTTCTATGCTGAAGTTTTATAGATAACAGCATCCTTTCTGGTATCTGGTGCTCACACATGCTTAACCTGTCAGTATTCGTGCAGGCGGCGATGAGAAGCATGAGGAAGGAAGCACCATGTGCTCAGCACTTCCTCTCCAGATACTCTATGCCAGGGGTAGGAAACCTTCATACTCCAGATGTTGTGAACTTCATCTCCCCATGATGCTCTAACAATCATAGTGTTGGAGATGTAGTCCACAACATCTGGAGTGCCAAAGGTCACCTACCCATGCTTTATACAATTACATCATAAAAGCCAAGTGAGTAAACAAAGGGCACCAGATGCAATAAGAATACCATTATAGATGAATAGTGCATAGAATCAAAAGCCATATAGTTACAATTGTATTGGTACAGAAAGCCCAGAACCATTATGTCTGTTTTATTTTGTATTTATTTTTAAGGCAGGGAATGATGGGATAGAGACAGTATGTTATGCACCCAAATATGTAGCATCTAGTAATGCATACACAAAATGTGTACAGGTGTGAAGCCAGTGGGGTGCACAAGCTGTTGCCTATAGAGAGTCTTGGCAACAAAAGATTCTCATTCACACTAGGTGGAGGACCAAAAGCCAGAACCGCATTTTTTTTTTTTTTTTATAATTCTTTATTTTTCTTGTGCATTTGAATACATACATGCTTGCAGTGCCACAACAGCTACTGTGAGCAATATCAAAACTTTCAGTGGCATATCTGAGGAGTTGCACATTTAATATTTATAGAGTATAACATGCTAACAATCGTTAAGTTAACTACACGCAATAAGTACACATGTTGTAGCTGGGTAATACTAATAGCCGTAGAGTGGCCAATATGTACTAAAAATACGCTCCTGATAATAGCTATGGAGAGGTCTTATGATACCTGGCGTGTGTCTAGCTAGTTGGAGTTGTCTGCTCCGTTAGGATGTGTGCTATGGGGTAAATCCGCCTATGTTTCAATCAGCTGTTCCTAGAGGTGTTGAGCTCAGTGGTGCAGTGTATCGCTCTACGGTGTTCTCTTCCCTCTGTGTTTGTGGGGTATTGCTATAGCTTGGGAGGTATCTAGGTGCTGGGTGTGCCGTAACCCCATCTATCTGCCGTTTAGGGTGATGTACCATCTTGTTTCCGCTTAGGGCAGATGGGGGTGGGGGGGAGTGGGGTAAGTAGCCTGACTGGGAGCATTCTTATGTGAGTCTTCCCGGTAAGAAGCTAGTAACATTTAAGGTACATGAACGATTATATTCATAACGGTAGGTAAAAAGAGGTATAGATTAACAGGTTAGGCAAAATTGCTAAGTAGTGTAAAGAGTCACAAGGAGTTAGTTCAAACAGTCCCGGCCATTAGTTTGTTGCGGCTTGTCAGCCGGGGAGCCGAGTCCGGACCTTCGCGGAACGAAAGTTTTCACCCTTTCCGGGTTCCACCGGTGCTGTGGTTTGGAGGTTGTCGTGGGACATATGGCGTCTAAAGGTAGTCCTAGTATGGGTAGCAAGTCCTCCGCTCCCTGGAGGTTGTGAAACTCATGGGTGTTCCCGTTATGTGTCACCAGCAGGGAACGGTTGAGGCGCCATCGGTATGTTATGTTTCGTTGCTGAAGTAGCGTTGTAAGTGGCTTAAGCGACCGTCTCCAAGCCAAGGTACTGCCGGACAAGTCCGTGAAAAAGGAGAGGGACATGGTTTCGAAGGGGTACTGGGGAAGGTTTTTGACCGCTGCCATGGTTGCGGCTCTGTCTTCCTTGCGCTGGAAGCGGAGTATAATGTCCCTGGTGGCCGCTGGTGGGGCTTTGGTCGGTTTGGGAACTCTGTGAACTCCGTCCAGGCTTATTGTTTTGGCTTTCCGTGCTGGTAGCAGCGCTGCCAAGAGCCTCCTCGCGAAGTGCGGCAGTTCCTCCGCCGGCATGTCGTCTGGTACTCCCCGTACCTTTATGTTGGTTGCTCTGCGTGTGTCTTCCAGTGCTGCGAACTGCCGTTCATAGACCTCTGCTTTACTCTGCAGACCCCTTATCTCCGATTGCATGGTGGCGATATGGGTAGCTGTGGTGGCGGAGGAATCCTCCAGGGTGCCTAGTCTCCCGGTTATTCCCTGGAGGTCTGTGCGGAGGCCCGCCATTTCTGCCTGCCAGAACCGCATTTTAACCAATTTTTTAAACTCACCGATGGCCGAAAATAATATATAGTGAAACATTTGTAGAATATACATAAAAACAAAATAAAGGATGCATATTCTAAAGTGTTACAGAATTACACAAGTTGTGTAACAGGATATACTAAAATCTGTTTTTAAAATTGTATTTAAAAAAGTTAAAAAGGATTTGAAAATAAAGACAATAGTGTTTTATTAAGAAGGGGAAAAATTAATTTACACAGACACTGATGTGTGGTAAAAAGCTGTATAATACAACGTGTTATACACGATCTTCATCTTAGTTCCAACAGTCTACAGTCTAGCACAAGTGGGTCTAATTTTTCACAGAAAAAAAAACCTACTATGAAAGTGGTATAAAAAGTATATAGATATCATAAAAAGACCACAAGACATATGCACAACAACAACAACAAAAATGACTTTAAAAAAATAAAAAAAAATTGTGTGTGTGTTTTTTTATTTATTTATATGTTATGAAATATCACAGGAGACATCATTAAAAGTTTACAACTTTTTGGGGGAGGTGGGGGGGGGGGAGGAAGGGGCGGAAAGAGAGTGGTCACCAGGGAAAAGATATAACTGTTCATATGCAATCAAAGAGAACGAGTAAAGGTGATGGGCTAAGAATGAGAATTTTGATGGGGGATGGGTATGCTAAGGAATAATTGCAGCTAGGCTGTTCTGGTTCCCTTAAGAAATCTTTAATCACACCAGAACGCTCAGATTACAATGACTGGGTGCAATTAGTTTATCCATAAACCCTAGACCAGGCAATCCAAACATCTTGGACTACATCTCTCATAATGCTTTTTGCAGCCTTAATCTGGGCAAAGCATAAGGAGAGATGCAGTCCACATAACGAGTGCCGAAGGTTGCCTACTCATGTCCTACATCATTCACATGAGGCCTTCATGACAAATGAAAAGTACCACTAAAAGGGAACAGCAGGGGTCATTGAATAACTGAATGCAGATTGTTCACAAAGCAGATATATCAACACACTGAAGTAAAGGATAACAAGGGATAGAGAGACGTTGTGACAGGACATGTTCTTTTCACTGCACACTGTGAATCTAGAAGAAAACCTTAATCAATTTTCATCTACTCATAACTGTACCTGTGAAAGAGTACAGAAATAGTAAATCTATATCTGCTCAATGATGGTTTTAAACTTGTTTTAATATAAAAAAACTTTGCTTACATGTGCCAGAGTTAAATTGTGGTGTTTTTCAATTTGGAATGTCTTATTTAATGTCATTTCAAAATTGAGACTTTTCTAAACATAACAAAAATAAAACCAAAACATTGAATAAAGAACACTATACCACACAAATGCAATACTGACAAGCAAATTCACGCTTTACTCATTTTACAGTGCCGTTTACATCCCCCACCCCACCTCCCCTTTTTTAAATTATAAGGCTCAAATGGAAAGGTTATGCCATCTGCAATGGAAAAAAAATCTGCCACAAGCTGAGCGTTAGAATAAATTATGTAAAATAACTGAAAATCTACATTTACCATAAAATGATCATTGAAAAGTAAGCACAACATCGATTAGATTTATCACACACAATTTGACACTTTAACACAATGCACACAAGTAGGACATAAATGCAATTTTCACACAGCACATTTCATTAAATTAGCAAATATTAACCTCAACAAATATAAAAATTAGCTGGACCGTTTTATTATTGATTTTACACCATACATTTTCCACATAGATGAACTTGCATTTAACACTCGAGACTCCTCTTTGATGGTATGATTACATTGTTTAGTAAGACTAGCTCAATCCCCAAGAGGAATTTGCATTCATTATCACCACATACATACATGCCAAACAAATGACAAAAATATCTAAAGTTAGAGGGTGAGGGATATCATAAAAATTGTGTCCAGACCTTGTTCAGAGAACTCAGATTTCACATCTATTACAGATTACGCCTCAGACATGAAAACACTGTCCACACAAGCATACATACAAACTTCTGGGGATAGCAGGATTTTCACACCCTATTTAATGCATAATGAAACATTTAAAAGGGTTATTCCAACCATCAATCACTACAGCCCGCAGTAGTGGTTATAACAGTAGGAATATCCTGGCATCATTCCCTGGTAATGAAACAAGCTTTTTTACAAGGGCTTGTCCTCTTACCTGGTCCTGCTAGGCATCCTCCAAAGCACAATACAGATGCCAATCCTGCCACTCCTTCATTGGCTGTTTGCCACTCTCAATCAATGAATTAGATTCTGTGCATTGAAATTTGCACATAATTTACATTAGCCATCCTCGAATTGATGACATCCCAATGACGCTTTTGGAGGTGAAGTTAAACCTGCGGCAGCGTTATGTGCAGCATTTCAAAGCTAAACTTCAAAGTTATGACCACTTCAATCATTGTGATCATGGTGCCTGGAGTAAACATTTAAGAATTAACAGTTGCATGGCCACTTAAACAACATCTCTTACACCATCAAAAATGGGATTCCCTAATGCTCTGCACTCAAAATGTTCAAAAATACAAAATAAATGCCAAAATACAAAACAAAACCCAACAAAGCAACAAAATATGTTAATCCTGCTTAATGTGAAAACATTTCATTATACCACAGGCCTCATTGCTAGTCTATCCAGACAGAGGCCTGATAACTCTCAGAAAGAGAAACCAGCCTGGGACAACTTGATTAATGGGATACTCCAATACATTGAAACACTTCAGCTTGCTCAAATGCTTGAGGTAACTACATGTTGCCTATGGCTTATTTTATGAAAGTGACTATTTCAAGACAAATCAACACTTTTATAAACCTTTAAGAAGACATTTTAGCTCAGTCACTTTCACTAAAAATGGAAGAGAGTGTTTCTTATAGAGAAACAATCTTGGTGGATCCCTGCAATTGCCGCTCATGCAATAAAGGTTCTGATTGAACAGAAGTCATTAGTAAAGAGAACTTCACAGGAGGCAGATTGGAGCTCCAGCAAGAAGACTCTCCTGTCGCTGGAATATAGGTGAGTTTATTAGCTTGTAATTATGAAATTGTGGGGAAATATAAACAGACTAAGGAATACCTTACAAACAACTAAGGACATGGGCTTTGCACACTGAAGTCTTAATAATCAAGGTAGATGCAATAATCACAGTATCCAGAGCCTACGTGAGAAGATTTTTCTCAACTTTCAATTTCAGATTGAAGGAAAGTATATTATGATAAGACACTTCTTAAAACATCTACTTTATTTCCAGAATTTGTCTCTGGCCACTCAAGGATACAACCAAGCCATAAAACCCGTAAGATGCAAACCCTTTTGCAAACCCCAAAGATAGTTTTTTATGTCCTCTAAAGACTAAGTACATTGGACGGGCACTATTCAAGTTCCAATATTTTTGGTACCTGTGCCATGAGTAAAGGTCCCTTCGCCAAGGATCCAAAAGTAATTCAAAGGAATAAAGTTCCATCACTCAGTAATTTTAGATGCAATGCGTGTTTTACTCCCATCCCAAATGACAGGCAACATTCGACACAACGTGTGTCTTTATCAAGTCACCATAGATGACCGATTCCCACCAGCCCGCTGATGCAGACATCTGCAGCTCCACTCACAAACAAGAATTGTGTGAAGATCACTAACTGCCTAAAACCAACATGCCGTGGCCAGATTCCATACATTTTTATAACCCAGGCACTAACTGGTAAGTATAAGGTGGCTTTCTCAGTGTAACAAATAGCTACTACACCAGTGGAATATCCTGCACAACTGTACAGGTACCTTTATCTTCATTTTATGTTACATGGCCAGTGTGTCACCTGCTACTTCCTTTTAGGGACCACCTACTACTGAGGAGCCACCTGGTTTTGTTTTTCTATATAGTTTCATACAACTGACAGGTCCAACCACACACAACTGAATTCAATGCATTCAATGAGAACAATTTGGATGCAAGTACACCACGCATGCGCATCAGTCCACAAAACTCCACTATAAAGAACATTGGACTGGACCCACAGATTGAAAATGATGCCTGTTTGTACTCCTAACACTATAGTGTTCCTTTAAGCAACATCCTACTGCATCCACATATTTTTTTGTCTATAAATATTTAACATATAATCAAATAAAACAATCTGCGCTGTGTAATTGTGTTTTGGATCTTCAGATCAAGTCTCCACAATCAATTAAAGCCTTTTTATATGTTTAAGTGTTCTAACAAACAGAGGTGGTGGAGAGAGTTATCAAGGAGTACCCCAATTTAATTGTATTTATTTTTATTTTGGTTTTTAAGTTTGAAACACGTACATATTCCAATATGAAATATTGAAAACACAAAACAAAAACAATGTACATCATGAAAGACTTCAAAACACAACATATGAAAAGAGTTTATATCTATGCAAGATTATACACCGTTTCTCTCATCGGGCAGCCTCAGCCTATCACCAGCTGCCAGCACACTTTCCCCAACCGCGATCGCCGTTGTGGGATAGCTGGCGACCAGGTAAGTAACAAAGATCCGGAGGGCGTACTATTACGCGGCGTGGCGCTTAGAGAAGCTTAGAACAGGTTGTAATAGTACGCCCTCCGGTTTTAAGGGATTAAAGATTGATTATGGGGGTGGGAGTGTTTAAAGGACCACTCTAGGCACCCAGACCACTTCAGCTTAATGAAGTGGTCTGGGTGCCAGGTCCTTCTAGGGTTAACCCATTTTTTCATAATTATAGCAGTTTCAGAGAAACTGCTATAATTATGAATGGGTTAAGCCTTCCCCCTAATCCTCTAGTGGCTGTCTCATTGACAGCTACTAGAGGCGCTTGCGTGCTTCTCACTGTGATTTTCACAGTGAGAGCACGCAAGCGTCCATAGGAAAGCATTGTAAATGCTTTCCTATGCGACGGGCTGAATGCGCGCGCAGCTCTTGCTGCGCGTGCGCATTCAGCCGGCGGGGCGTAACGGAGGCGGAGGAGGAGGAGGAGAGCTCTCCGCCCAGCGCTGGAAAAAGGTAAGTTATTACCCCTTTCCCCCTTCCAGAGCCGGGCGGGTATGTTTTCCTGGCACTATAGTGGTTCTTTAATATTATTTGCATTATACTTTTCAATTAATGGGGACACTGTAGTTACCAAAACAACTTTAGCTTAATGAAGCCGTTTTAGTGTATAGATCATGCCCCCGTAGTCTTAATGTTCATTTTTTTTGCCATTTAGGAGTTAAATCAATTTGTCTATACAGTCCTAGTAACACCTCCCTGCATGTGACTTACATAGTCTTCCTAAACACTACCTGTAAATGAGTCCCCTAATGTTAACACTTCTGTTATTGCAAATTCTGTTTAAATTAAAATGTCTTATCATCTGCTCTGTTAATAGCTTGTGATACCCTACAGGAGCCACCTATGTGTGATTAAAGTTCACTATACAGAGCAGGAGATAAAAACATTTAAAGTAAATTACATCTGATTGAAAATAAAACCATATATATATATCTATTGTAAACGATAATAATCCCCGAATATTCCTAATACATCATTATATAAGTTCATACACAATATAGGATTTTAAGTCCACCACAATAAATCACTTAATAATATAGATACTACTTCCCGGAAGCACCCGAAGTCTGCTGGAGATGTGGGGCGGGTGTGGGCTCCCTTATTTTATATCTTTTGGGAGTGTCCACTTCTAGTCCCCTATTGGAGGAATATCTTTGACACCCAGTCACGGGTGGCGGACGAAGGTGTGACCTTCAACCCTGAGGAGATGTTACTCAATAAATCGAACCTATCAATCTCAAAATACAGGAAAACTCTCTCAAGACACTTGCTCACAGCAGCTCGGTCACTAATCCCGATGCACTGGCGCCTAAAGGAACCCCCAACTTACCAGGATTGGCTAGGGAGGGTCTAAGAGATACGCCAGGTTGAAGAGGAGGCTGCAATGGTAAGTGGGCAAATTTAACGGGACATGAAGAACATGGGATCTACTATGTATGTACAAGTGAATAAAACTAGATCACTTTTCCGTTTCTCATTGTAAAGTTCCCACTGCTGTAAATATCCTTAGAATATAACTCACAGTCCCTAGGTTGGGAATATCTCAGTGGTCGGGCAGGGCAAAGGGGATCCCTCCTGGTCAGCCTAGACAGCAGTTCAATAGACACAGAAGTTTAAGACGGCTAGGTCCTACACCGGGCGTAATGGGTGAGATTGCTACACAACAAGCACACGTGGATGCATGAACCTACGCTCTGATGGATAGGAGTAACTTGTTAGCCCCACTTCCAGCGCTACTAGACCAGCCTCCAATCATATGAAATACGCTCAACTAGATTGGATTGTCGATAACCGTTTAATATTAAGCACACTCCCATATTCTAGTATATAAACTAGGCAACACTGGGACCACTGACAATTCTACCTTAGCATTGCAGGCAAAGTAAACAGTTTGTTTTAATAATCTGTTGATGTAAGATACATGTCTGATTGAATTTCCTGAAGCTATGGTCCTATAACCATATATGTTTTGATGTTTACAATGAGACAACTGTCATTTAACTACTTCTAATACTTTCTCTGTATATTTATTTTGAAAAATTAATAAAAAGTGATTGACAAAAAATAAAATGAAAAAAATAGTATAGATACTGAAGTCACTTAATTTACTAGGAGCATCTATAGTCATAGCAAATTGAAAAATAGCAGGATAAGCGTCTAGAGTGATATTGTTTTACAGCAACACCAAAACCAGCCAGTTTATACCTTAAAGGACCACTATAGTGCCAGGAAAACATCCTTGTTTTCCTGGCATAATAGTGCCCTGAGGGTGCCCCCACCCTCAGGGTCCCCCTCCCGCCGGGCTCTAGGGTGAGGAAGGAGTTAAAAACTTACCTCTTTCTCCAGCGCCGGGCGGGGAGCTCTCCTCCTCATCTCCGCCTCCTCGGCTGAATACGCATGCGCGGCAAGAGCCGTGCGCGCATTCAGACAGTCTCATAGGAAAGCATTCACAATACTTTCCTATGGACGCTGGCGTCTTCTCACTGTGATTTTCACAGTGAGAAGCACGCAAGCGCCTCTAGCGGCTGTCAATGAGACAGCCACTAGAGGCTGGATTAACCCTAATGTAAACATAGCAGTTTCTCTGCTTTATAGAAAAAAGGGTTAACCCTAGCTAGACCTGGCACCCAGGTGCCTATAGTGGTCCTTTAAAGAAAAATAATGGAAATTGGGAGGCTTATTTCAAAAGATCACAAGACAAGCTCTGGTATTTCAAATTCACATGAGGCAGTTGT